CTCCCAAGCGCTGGGATAATAGGCATATGCCACCATGTCCACTCTCAATTGCTGTCTTAGCATGCCCCAGGGGTGGAGCCGGCGTGGCTCTCCATTTTTCAAGTTCATATATTAAAGTAACTCAGAAGGGTACTAAAGTCTTTCCTGTGCTAAATCAACATAGTGAAGTGTTTTGTTGTTTTTAAATACCTGATACATTGGCACATTGTAAGTAATAAGATGTGTCTGTGTTGCACTTACGTTTCACACTGATAGTTTAGTCAAGGGACTGTTATTTTTTTTAATCTGGCCTATACCATTAACCAGTTCTGACTACCCAGCTTTATCCAGTTTGGCTGAGATAGTTTCTTCATCTTGCATGAAAGGACTGATTGAGTTGATTTCTAGAGTCCCTTCAATCTTTAAAGTCTATAATTTTATGTAACTTTTTGCCCTGTTGGGAAGGAAGCAGGAATTAATGTACTGAAATTATTCATCAATTTATTGGGGTATTTTTTAGGTATTGATAATACAAGAAGTTCTCTCTGATATCAATCTGAAGAAAGGAGAATCTGAGTGCCAGTATTACATTGACAAGCTGGAATATCTGGATGAGAAGCAAAAGGACCCCAGGATTGAAGCAAGTAAAGTGCTGCTGTGCCATGGGGAACTAAAGAACAAAAATGGACATGTGAGTGCATTCGAGTACTAACAGGAAATAAGCTTTCCTTTTTCCATGCTGTTTAACTTTTTGCATATCTGTTATGAAGCAGGTTTGTAAAAAAAATTATGAAATGGTAAAAGACCACTAATTTTTATTTTATGTGATCAGCTTTGATAAAGTGAACATTTGTTTTCTGTCATTACAGAATCAATAGGATGGCTTAAATATCTCAGAATTAGTACTTCTTTAGTTTTAAATTATAAATTTACTTATTTGGGTAATTGATGAATAACTCCTTTCCAAGTTCTGTAATATTTACTAAAAAAGCATACCCTTCCGAAAAAAAAATTTATATACTTGTGGAAGTACAGTAGTTTTTAGCACTACTCAACAGATTTCTACAGCAGATCAAATGAAAGCAGGTTTATTTTTTAAATACTGATTACAGAAGTACCTTGTGGAACTAAACCGTGGAATGGTATTTTTGTTTCATTATGTGCTTTTTGAAAGCCCAATTTATAAATTGGGGGTTTTTAGAAAAAACTTTTTGAAATCTGATATCAATCTCTGATTTCTATCACAAGCCTTCATTGTTCCATAAGGGCTTAAATTTGTGTGGACAGAATGAAACCATTAACATTTTATCAGCTTGAATTTTTTAATTGCTACTTTTTAGAAAACTGTTATATAATACTGTTATTCTAAGTCACATTAGTATTGATAAGTCTTTGTGATACTGTAGTGTTAAACTTCTGCTTAACCTGATAGTATACACCAATGAAAAATTCAGTCTGAGATTGAATTTTCCATATAAAATGTGTAGTCTTGATTACTATCTTATGAAGTCATTTATGAAGGAGCTCAGAGGAAATCAATTTGATAAAATTAATGTCAAATTAAGTTTTTAACAGTGTATTTCAGTCACTTATAAAGTTCCTTATTGAGAGCTTTTTTTCCAATTTTCCTAGAAACTTTACATTTTCCTATTTCAAGACATCTTGGTTTTGACTCGGCCTGTTACACGAAATGAGCGTCATTCTTACCAAGTCTACCGGCAGCCAATCCCAGTGCAGGAGCTGGTGTTGGAGGATCTGCAGGATGGGGATGTGCGCGTGGGAGGGTCCTTTCGAGGGGCTTTTGGCAACTCAGACAAAGGTAAAATAGCACTTTTAAACAGTTTAAAGATACATAAACTCAGAGCTAAGTGACTTTAGTCTTAATCTTTAAGAGTTCTAAAAATTAAATGATTTTCTTTTCTAGTACTTAATATACTTCGAGTTGTCACGTGCTTCACTGAAGTCTCATTCCTTTTTTTTTTCAAAATTTTTTCCAGCTAAAAATATCTTTAGAGTCCGCTTCCAGGACCCCTCTCCAGGCCAGTCTCACACTCTGCAAGCTAATGATGTATTCCATAAGCAGCAGTGGTTCAACTGTATCCGTACCGCAATTGCCCCTTTCCAGCAGGCCACCAGTGCATCAGAGCTTCAGGGTTTGCCAGAGCTCCACGAAGAGGGTGAAGAGAACAACCCCTCTGTGGGGAACCTCCCAGCCCAGAGAAGGGCATCAACAGTTTCCAGTGTTATGCAGGTAGAAGGTGATGAAAATGCGTCTGAGTGTGGTTTTGCTGTACAGGCAGCAGAAGACTCCAAGAGTGTAAAGGGACATCGAATGCAGTCTGGCTTCCGAAGAGCAAAGGATAAAGCGCAATTAAGTGGCAGACGGAAAGAGACTTTGGTGTAAAGGAACCTGTGTATTAACTGGTAGAGAGACTATTTATAAATGTGTACAGTTTTGTTTTTCTTGTAATGGGACTATTATAGGATTACTTTGTACCAGTTGTAACATTTTCATGGTTTGGGGGGGTTTTCCTTTATAAATTTTATTTTTTAATGGCAGCTAAAGGTATTCAGATTACTGTTAAATTGCAGACTTTTTAAAAAGGTTTTTTTTTTTTTGATTATTTAGAACATGCACGCCTGGTATTTTTAATCAGATGAGACAATTATGAAATTAAAGGATTTTCTTGATTGTGGATTCATCATGACTTTTCAGTACAATCAAATGTGATATTTACAGTGTATGCTAAAACTCAGAATTTTTCAAATACTGGAATTCTACCAGCGATCTTTGTTAAGCCTTGCATGCAGAATTTAAAATTTTTATATTGGCACCTAAAAGTTTGCATGAAGTGTATGTTTGAAGTATTCAAAATTTACAGTGAAGTGTAGCTTTCTTGGAAAACAAACTATAAAACTTAGTAAGTTTTCCATTTTATCAACTGGAATGCTTTATATTATGTTAAGCTTTTTTTCACTGCACATTCCTCATTTTTCATTCATTTATTCTGCCAATTATTTAATTTTTTATTGTAAAGTAGTTTTTAGTATTTGCTTTTATTTTTTTACTTTGGTGCCTTTTCAAATTGGCATGTCTTTAAAAAACATTTTTCTTCCTAATTAAAATGTGTGTGTATGTATATGTATATATATATTCGTGGGTTTCTAAAAATCATATTAACTTTACCAAGTGAAACCAAGCCATACTGTTTTTGAGCCAATTAAGAAAATTACAATTTTTAAAGTATAGCATTTCAGGATAGTAAAGACACATGGGATGATTCAGTATATTTTAGACTACTGAAAGGAAATCACTTGAAGGATTTTGTTCAAAGTTTTAATGTCTGAAAAGCAAAAGGGAAGGTAATTGACTGGTAATAAGTGAAAGAAAAAAAGGAGAAAGAAAGTGGTTTTGTCTTTAAGTAAAAATGTCTGGTTGTGCCAGAATATGAAAGAAGTTAAGAAAAGCTCAACATGAGGGTATGTAGTAAGTTGTAGAAGGTTTGAGATGATGTGAACTTTATTTGCTTTGGTTTATAGTATCTGCAAATAGTGGATTTAAACAGAAATGTGTTCAAAATTTGACAGTATTAGATCAATTTTAGTAGATTTATTCATAAGATAGAAAACCTGGTGAACCTTTACTGCAAAAGTGTTTTCATTAAAATGAGATTACATTCTTTAAAAGGGGTAGGGCAGACCAAAGCCCTTTGTCATCACAGGTTTATATAATGGTGATAAGTCAGTGTTGACTGTTATGTGAAATATATTTACCAGTGGAAATGAAAATTGGAAAAGACTGTAAATAGATCAGTCAAATGATTTCTCTGTATAAATGAAGTATACAATTAAAAAAAAGCACACACATAATCACCCGAAAGGTGTCTTGTCTGGTGGATATTTTGGGGTTATCTGCCTAGACTTACTGGTGTGGCCAAGGGGTTAGATAGTAGCATGCATCGCAGAAGTTTATGAAAATTAAAAAACATATATTAAAAGTAACATTTTTTTAGAAAAGTACAAATTAAAATTAATCCCAATTTTAAAAAAAAATCACAAATCTTTAAAACTCATTGATGAATCATGTTAGAAAAGTTCATTTAGCAAGTCTTGTAGTCTTGTAAAACCTTTTAATAGTACATTGTAATCAAGACATAGCAGAAGACAGCTGAACATCTGACCACTCTGTCTAGATGATCTAGAAGTTTTGATTTTTTTCTGCACATCCGAGCAATCCCCAAACCACAGCCTGATTCATGATAAATGAATGAGTACACAAATCCATTGGTACTTAAAATTAATGTAGTGCATGAGCATTTTAAGAGTCTTAATAAAAGCTGTGGATCCTTTTGCCAGGAAAATATGTACATATACAAACACATCTGCACAACTTAAGGGCTCAGATATTTCTCAAACCCCTCTGTGGACTCCCACATTCAGATCTGCACAAGTCTTCCCCAATGAGAATTCTTCAAAATCTAATGGAGAGCAAGGATTTGCTTTGTCAGTATGGATTCTCAACACACTGATAGCTATCCATGTTCTGTGAGTGATAGTTGAAAACTCATACACTTCTAGCTGGTCTTCTAAGCCATACTTAAGACACATTCAACTGCTCTGGATATAGTTTTCTTCAAAATAATATCTGTCTTCTTCAAAATAATACTTTCAGTTTGATGTGTAGTCCCAGCTTCAGAATCCTGTGCCTTATTGATCTTTGTTCTCTCCAGAAATGTCTTCTGTTTTTGCAGAATGTGGGCAGGCTATTTGTAAAATGATTAACATGGACCTGAGTAAAACTGGCTTCTATCCTGAGCATGAAATGACGCTGTCCAATAGCTAATTACATGGTGTCTCATGATGAACAAGTTGTATATTTAAAAGTATATAAGACAATTGAACCATCAGGATAAACTCCAGTGGATTAAACACACATCAAATATATTTGAAAATAGTTTCATAATTATTTTAAATAATAATCACCCACTATATACATGACATTATACGTAGTCAGAGCATCACATTGTACCACATAAAAATGTAAAAATATGTCAATAAAAATAATATTAGTTTAAAACTTTTTAAGAAAAAAAATAAACTTACAGTCCCCTTTGGAGTATCTCATAGAACCACCTTACTGCTTTGAAAATGGGTACATAGTCATGCCTTTATTATATCCTTTCTTGTACAAACTATTCCTCAGGTAACCAAAGAGGTAAAGGAGAGTTTTCTGTATAGCAAAATTCCAGGTGATAATTGAAGGAGTCACCATCTTGTTACTCTTGCAGGAACCTAAGTGGACCTAGACATTAATGTGAATAAGGACCCAACCCAAGCAGGCAGACACCACTGCCTCTTGAGAGAAGTGCATACCATCCAAGCAGCCCTGCTAAGGTCAAGTGGGTGGGTGTGGTGATACACACCTGTAATCACAGCACTTAGAAGACCAAGGCAGGAGGATCTTTGTAGGTTTGAAGCCAGCTTGGGATATGTAGAGTTGAAGACCAGCCTGAACCTACATGTTGAGACCCTGACTCAAAAAAACGTCAAGCCTGAGTCAGATCCCCAGGAAATATAAGAGTTTCTTCAAACTCAGAAAAGAGGTGGAGGGTGCAGAATAGGAGATACCAAGCAACTAAGCCAAAAATTTTGAATGAAATGATCTGGAAAATACCCAATATTTGAAGTTAAAGTAGTTTATTACACTCATATTTGACTACTACAATGATGGGTGAGAGAAACTAAAATATTTATAGATAAAATTGAACTGGGGATGTAGCTCAAAGGTAGAGCACCAGTTTAGCACACATAAGCCCCATGGTTTGATCCCCAGCACCAGAAAGAAAAATAAAAAAAAGATTCCTGGAATCACATTCAAAATTATGGGGCAGGACACAGAAATAAAAGATTAGTTATCTGTTGACAATTACGAAGCTATTTGCTTTGCTTTGTGTGTATTTAAAATTCTTCCTTAAGAAACAGTTCAGAAGAGCTTAGGAAAATCCAGGTATATTGAGTATGCTTTCAGTGCCTCAGTCTTTTTTTTTGGTCTTGTTGAGATAAAAGTCTCCTTATGCAATTCGGGCTGGCCGCAATCTCACTTTGTAGCTCAGGCTAGCCTCTAACAACGATCTTCCTGCCTCAGCATCCCAAGTCCTGGGATTATAGGCATGGGCTACCCTACCCAGCTGCCTCAGTCTTTTAATTCCCTCCAAATTCCCTACCTTTGTTTTTCAAAGTAAAGGAAGAATGTTTAGCAACACCACTGCATATGCTCTCATCTCACAAAAGCACAAATCTTTTGTCTGAATTAATGTCATAGTTCTCTCTCCATTGCAACTTGGCAATAGCATTAGATGAATTTAACCCTGGTTTAATTAATATGGTCCTTTTCTTCATCCTGTTCATTTCCAGTGTCTCTTCCTCTACCATTGTATCCTTTCCCTGTAACTTTTTCTCTGACACAGAAACATTGGTACCACATTTCATATGAACTAGGACAGAAAGTACACCATCCTGTCAGACCCATGGGTTTGTTTTCCATTTGACTGTAGTCCAAATATGTTAAATAAAAAATCACAATAAATAGTTTTAACATTGCTGTCCTGAGCAGCATGGTGAAACCTCCCACTGTCCTGTCCATCTTGGGCATGAGTCATTCCATTGTCCATAATTTTTTTGTTCCTGTAAATGCTACCTGCCCATTAATCACTCAGCTGTTTTGGTTATCAGACTGACTGCTTCAGTACTGTTTTTGTCCAAGTAGCCCCTATGTGATTTCATAATGAGCCCAGAGCACAAATGTAGGAATATGTAGGAGTCACATGCCTCCTGAGAATTATAAAACACAGAAAAGACTGCCAATCCTGCAGAGCATATAGGGAAAAATACGGTCCATACATATTGAGGCATCAACTAGGCATCTTGAAGAGATAAGGAAAGACTGCAAAGAGGTTGCAGGTCTCATACAGAAGCAATTTCTCTCTCGTCTCTCTCTCCCCCCCTTCTCCCTCTCCCTTCCCCTCCCCTCCTCCTCCTCCTCTTCTCCCCTCCCCTCTCCTTCCCTCCCCTCTCCTCTCAACCTTGCATTAGGCAGACTCGGTGCCACTGAACTATATCCCTGACTTGGTTTCTGGGTAATAGTCATTCTGCAGTAAGCAAATCAAGATTTTATACCATGACCAATGTCACATTCATCTCAGGGATGCAGGGATGACTCAACATACACAAATAAATGTAATATACCATATTAACAGAGCCAAAGATAGAAACCATGTGTTCATCTCAATAGGTGCATTTAGTGGTTGATTGACTGTGTCAACTTGAGAAGTTTAGAAGCTTAACTAAATTGGCTCAGCAATTCCACACCCTAGAGTGTAGAGGAGCCACCCTAGGATAGCTCATCACTTAAAGGCTATAAAATGGAAATGAGGAAGGATGGAACATTCCATTTTCTTCAGAGGAGCTCCAATTTTCACCTTGAGCTTGAACATCATCTCCTGGCTTCTAGTGCAGACTCCTCAACTTCTGCCTTGGACCCACCAGCCTTCTGGTGTAGACTCATCAGCCTTCTGTTGCAGATACATCAGCCTCCTGTTACGGACTGGCACAGAACATTGCAATGAGCTCCAGATCTTGGACTGAATCCTTCAGTCTCCAGTGTGCACACACACTGTATGCTTCCTCATCCGACTGTGGCTGACCATCGTAAGCCAGTCTTGTAATTTCTTATACATTTGTACATCTTGTGTTATTTCTATTCCTCTAGTAAATTCCTGACTAATACAATGCAGAAAAAGCT